GAAGGAGATATAAGAGTATGAGCATATCATCATAAAATATTAACCAACAAATAAAAAGTTTTTACCCCTGGGCAATCTTGAAGGCAGGCATCTAGGTCCCGGAAGAGTTACCAAAGGATGAATGAGATGTTCCCTGATAGTTTGAGTCGGAAGAGTTAAGTGGTTGACGAATGAGACCCGCCTTTGGAAAGGAGAGGGATGGATTTTTAGGCACCTCAATACAGCGTTTGCGAGGGGCATGTGTGTTGGGTAAGCCGGTTGCAAGATCTCCACCACCACTGCTCCGGGTTGTACGCTTTGCTTCGTGCTGCTGTTTTTTCAAAAGAAAATTGGGGTCCATATAAGCAAGAGGATGAGAAAATCTTACTTTTCGGGAGACTCGCCAAGTTTTTTTTGTTTTGGAAAAGGTTCTGAGTTGGAGGAGATTATGGTTATCTCTGTTGCGTCCGCATGGCTGGTCTTCGCATCATCCTGAGAGGAGTCAACGGCAATAAGTTGCATAAAAAGAAAGCCAAGAGAATCGAGTTCTACCTCCGAGTCATTGTCAAGGGCAAATAAGTCTTCAGCATCTTGTTTCTTTCCTTTGGTCTTTTTTGGAGCCTTAGACTTTCCTTTGGCCTTTTTGGCCGGCTTATCCTGCAATTTCTTGTTCCAGAAGGGAGAGTCGGCCTGAAAACACAAATGACAATGAGAAGATGTGCAGTTTGTGAGAAAGTGATAAATGAGTTAAAAGAATGACTTAAAGTACTTACGTCGGGAGCTGGATTGAGAGCACAGAAAGGGTCCAGTCCCATTTTACTGCAGCTTTTGAGGGTCTGCCCGAGCAATGACTTGGTCACTTCATTGATTTCCTGGTCCTCAAGACGTGTTTGATTATATTGCTGTGGGTCTTTCACATCACATGTGTATTGGTACATTAAGCCGGTACGGCGGCTCAAAGGCAAGATTCTCCAAGCGACCCAGCATCGGACCAGGTCAACACTAGTTAAGCCATTGGCTAATAAGGCCCTTACTCTTGAAAAGGTAGGCGCGTGCTTGGCTCGCTCCGCAGCAATGATCCGGTCGGGGACTGGATGTCTAGGACTGAGCCAGCAGGTGCGGAAACCCAGTAGAGGATTTTCACCCGCTGGAGAGGTGTCTTGGCAATAGAACCAAGTCTGGTTCCAGTCCTTGGGGTGACTGGGTAGTGCAGTTGCAGGGAAGACGACGTCCCTCCGCCTTTGGATTGAAATCCCACCAAGTTCAAGGCTAGGCCCGCCTGTCATCTCAATCTGGCGGTTCAAGTAATAATATTCTCTGAATAGATCAACGCTGAGCTCTTCTTGAAGGTACACCTCACAGAAAACTTGAAAGCTGCAAATATTGGAAACTGGGTTGGGGCGAATATCTTGAGGGTGTAGCTGATAGAAGTTTAGAACATCCCGAAAGAATTTCAATCCGGGTGGTGCGAAACCACGGAGGAGGTGGTCTGCAAAGATTATGACTTCACCTTCTTTAGGTTGAGGCCTAATTTCAGCCCCTGGAACTCGCCAGTGGATGGCGTTTTTTGCTGGTAAGACACCCATCCCAACATACTCATTAAGAGATTGTTCAGTCGCAGTGGAAGCAAACCAATCGCAAGAGGTGGTGGTCTTAGTCATTTTTTGCCGATTGAAGCCTGAGAGTGAAGAATTGGTGGGTTAATATTGTGATGGTAAACCGCTTAATAGTTAAGGAAGCAAGTCTGCTGCCCAAAACTGGTTATGGGTGCGAGATTAACCACTATGAGGAATGGAAATAAACAATTTTGATTAAATCGGCAAGGTGCCGGCGGGTTATATAGCCATGGTTAAAGTTGGACAGATGCTAGCGGTTCACAGGTTCATAATTAAGCCGGTTGGAAGCTGGCAGGTTACAAATGTATCATTTGAGTCGCCTAAACAACAGTAATAAGACAGGTATCTATAGACCTGGGATTGAGGAAATTTTCGTAAGTATGGGACAAACAAGTTTCGTGGTTTCTGCCGAGGATTTTGGATCTATTGTAATTCAAAAAATGAAAAATAATTGCTAAACCTAAAGCATGGCAATGGAAGAACATGCAAGCTGGGATTGAATCTCAGGAAGAGTGGATACATCTATGATTTGAAGCAAATAACATGACTATTACCGCAAGATTTTGGTATGGTTTCTTCAGACTGAACTAAGCGATATGATGGATCAACTAAGATGAACTCCAACAAACACGATGAACTGCGACGAATCCTATGAACGGGCTCAATATAATGTGGATATGGGTCAAGAAAAGAGCTTTACCTATTGATGTTGATGGACAGCGAAGGGGCACCGCAATCTCTGGTCACGGTCAGGTTGATGCAGCGACCTGGATGGAGCTATTGAAGAAGGTCGACTGGGGCGGTGGAGCTCCAGCGTCGGTGGACGACGCGAGGAGGAAGAAGAAAAAAGAAGGGCGGGGTAAAAGTGAAAAGAGGGGACTCCCATCCCTATTTATAAGGAAACAGTGAAATGGCATGGTAGAAATCAAGGAGATGACATGATTATCTCAACAGTGCGGGTGCCTCATTTCTCGGACAACCAATTAATAGAAGAGATCCGTTATGATGTCATAAGTTTTTCATATATTTAATACTCATGATGTCATGGCGGGTTACAATGATCCAGTTTGCGTGACGTCATGGCGGGTTACAGTGTTTTTTTCAAGGATTAAGCTTTGGAAGACAATTCACCAACTGAAGGAGTGAAGATTGACATGAACAAGTTCAAATCAATCTGGGGCGTAATGTTGGGGATATAATCCCGAGGTGTGACCCGCCCAGGAGGGGCCGAGTTACACTGTTGGCGATTCAGTATGCAGAAGGCCCAAGAAGATGAAGCAGGAAGACGACGGCTTAAGAGGCAGCCTGGTGACGGCCCAATGGCTGGAAGTGTAAGCCGCTCGATGATGAATTGCCTGGTAAGGCAAGGCAACTTAGAAACCGAGCTGGTCACGATGTATGATCCGGCTCAGACTCTTGTAAGCCCTGGGGCCTCAACCTGTGTATATAAAGGTGAGACCCGGCGGCGGGTTAAATCAACAAACAACCAATCGAGAGCTAGGTCAAGCGTGATCGCTCCCTTGTAATCGATACCCAAGCAATACGAAACAAGAGCAGGAGTAGGCTTTCACCTCGTTGAGAGGGGCCGAACCTGGGTAAACCTCGTGTCCTTTGTCCCGTTCAACCCCTTTAAGCTAACCTACGTTGCGATGGCTCCATACCTAAGTCCTTTCGCAAGGGCATCTGCCGTGTTAAATCCACGACAGCCTTGCAGAACTTGTACATGGAGTCTAGGCATGTAGACTCGCTCATACGGATGTACTCCACAATGAGATCACCGGGCACACCGTATGCAAGCATCCGGACGGCTGCAGTGCATTTCTGATAAGATGAGAAGCCAATCTTTCCAAGGGCATCCTCTTTGCACTCTAAATAGTCATTGTATCCGACCACCTCCTCTCTAATGCGGTTGAAAAGATTCCTACTCATACGAAAACGCCGCCGGCATTTCTGATGTTTGAACAGCGGGTTGGTTGTGTCAAAGTAGTCCTTCCAAAGAAGGAAATGGCCGCTCTCTTGGTTGAGATTCAATGCCGGAAGGTGCCCCGGGATGGAGCCACGGAACAACGGCTGCTGGCTATTAAGGTGGTGATGGACCAACACGGCATCCAAGATCTCCTCTTTATCATCAGACGAGGAATCGTCGGAGTCGCAAAGAAAATTATGGAAAAAGAACTCGTCGGCGGAGTCCATTTTTTACCTTGGCAAACTGTCGAACAGCTTGCGAACGTCGACGAAGGAGCTGGCCGACGAAGGGATGCGCGCCTCCCTTGGACCAGGTGGCTGGCCTGGAGGCATCTGACGAGCGTGGCGGCGTTCGACGAGAGTGTCGGCGTCAGGACGAACGAGCTGGCCGGGGCGGCGAGGTGGCTTCCTGCTCGCGGCGGAGGTGGGGGTGGGAAGCTTCGGTGCCCTAACGGCGAGACGGTGGTGGCGGCGACGTGGGAGGTAGCAGCGTTGGGGGAAGATGTGTCGGCACTGGCTGCTGGCAGAGGCACCGGAAAATGGGTGGCGGCGGCGGCGCGGTGGAGGCGGGCGAGAGTTTGTTGTCGATCTTGGGATGGGAGAGGATGGCCAATGTGCCACCGACTAGCGGGCCGGGGGAGGAGTAGGCGGGCGCCACACGCGTCCGTTTCGTGTCCGCGCCGACGCAAATGAGGCTCAAAATTGGGCCGGAAATGAGTCGGCAAGCGGACGAAAAGCGGACGAGCGTCCGTTTGGGTCGGCGCGTTGGGCCGACTTTTCCATCTGCACCGACACAAACGGACGCGCGCAGACAAAATGGGTCGGCGCGTTGGAGTTGCTCTCATATACTAAATCCAAACCACCTCATTGGTCATTTCCGTCGAGTTGATCCAGCTTACATTCGGATTCGGTCCCCACTGAACAAAATTTGATCTAGCTTACACACTCACATGCTCACAGTTTTTGTTACTCAATCACATGCTCAGCGTACAATTCCATGTTCTCACAGAGTGTTCTACCGTATTATTTTAGAACTTCTCTAGCCAACAAACCATGTGGAAACAGGGGGCAGTTCCAATAATTCGATGGATCCCGATACACACCTCAGCGCATTTTTCAGATGGAAAACACCTCAGCAGATTGGTTTATCATACGGTTTGGTTACCAGAAAGTCAAAGTGCTTAACTATAAAAAAAGTATCGTTGCAGGATGACAAAACAACTGATGAGATTCCAGACAGACAGACAATGTGAGGGGCCTATATCATTTCAATGAATTTCGTTCCATCTTTGCAGCGGCGGGCAATTTAATTTATACAGTTTACACGAGTAATTCCTAGACAAAATCTCTATAGTTTAGACCATACATACACGCCATGAGAGAATGAACATCAAATTTCACGAAACGAATGGTAAAAATGGGTGGCAAGTTGCCTTAAATTTACTGGTTGAGGTTGTCCAGTGCCTCCAGCAGCACAGGTCTGAACCTCTTGCAGTCGAGCCTCACGTTCTGCTTGTCCATGAAGGTGCGCCTGATGAACTCGAACCCACGCTTGTGGAAGGAGATGGGGTCCTTGAAGATCTTGTGGTCCCTCGGGTAGTGGTCGGTGAGGCTGCTCTCGTCGACGGTAATGGCGTACTGCTTGTACCGGAGGCCCATCATCTCCGACGGGTTCCCGAAGTCGGTGCGGGAGATCCAGTCGAGGCCGCCGAAGGGCACGATCTGGATGAGCGTGGCGTTCTGCGGCAGGAAGACGCAGTTGGTGAGCCCGGCGCCGTGCACGCCCATCATCACGTCCACCGAGTTCACCAGCTTGGCGAAGCCGTTGATGTCGGAGCTCACGTTGGCCTCGTCGATCACCACCTCGAACCCGAGCTCCTCGGCCATGCCGATAATCTCCTCCAGGTTAAGGAACATCCTGGTGCGGTGCCGCTTGATGATGAGCAGCCTCGGCTTCACCCTGGGGCTCTCCCCGAGCGCCGCCGCGGCGGCCTTGGGCAGCGAGTAGGCCGACCGCATGAACCGGTTGAAGTCGACCATGGTGACCCCGTTCGGCGACTTGGTGGCGTCGATGGTGAACTCCATGTAGGCGTGCGTGCCGACGATGGCGTGCTTGAAGCAGTGCACCTGGTCGTCCTTGCTGAAGTCGATAAGGGGGTACTTGGACAGCTTCTGGAGCAGGGTGTGGTACTTGATGGTCCACCAGAGCGCCATGTCCGTGATGAGGAACTGCACCTCGCCGTCGAACTGGCTGGCCGTGGTGAAGAGCGGCACGATCACGTCGGTGAAGTCGTGAAATAGGTTCCCCGTGTAGCCGGTGAGCGAGAAGATCACCACAGGCACGTCGTGGTACCGGGTGCACTCGGCGGCAACCTTGCTCGACTTCACCGTCAGCTCCGTGATGTGGCTGAGGCAGAACTCGTCGCCTTTCCGCGGGTAGGGCTTGATCTTCCACACCTCGTCCCTCTGCGACCCCTCGGGCTCCATGAACAGCACCGACGTCGCCTTCGGGTGCACCCTCACGTCGCCGCGCATCTCGCACACGTTCGCCCGGAAGTTCGAGAAGTCGCACAGCGGCTTGCTCCCCTGCTGCTGCTGCTGCTCCTGCTGGACGTTGCTCAAGCTCAAGCCTGGGAAATTGTTTTGAAGATATACATTGTTATATCAGGAACATGGTGGTATGTTCATTAAAATTTGGTCGTGATGCAAAACAGCTGGATCAGGGTGAGCATACGGAGCATCACTGGGATCAAAATCTAGCAATAATGGGCCAACGATCATGTAGGAGTACGAGCGCTGACACGTGATGCGAAGCAATCAATGCTCCAAGTGGGCGTCACCGAGAACAGCAACGATCGTATTGGTAAGATACAGTAACTTGAATTGGACGTCTGCATTGGCGGTCTATTTTCACTACTACTACTGGTACGTAACTCGGATTAAACTAAAGGCCAGTACATTGCTCTAGCTTGTGCTCATACTAGTAGAGTAGACCATCAACACTTCAGTTCTACTCTGACAGCACCACTACTAAGTGTACTTCTCTCCATAATTTACTGGTAGTAGTACAGCTTCTGCTCTGCCATTAGAAACAGAGGAATCAAGTTCTTAATGGACGCTCTGACGGCGAAGATTGCAGATGGAAACAGGGAATACTAGAACGGGATCGACTGACTGACTAAGTAAATGGGTGTCAGCGAATGCACAAAAATTGGAAACTGCATCGAATAAATGCAGGTGGTACCTTCTTGCTTGGCATTCTCGGCGTCCTCGGCGTCATGAATGGTGTAATTGGAGACGGTCGGGAGCGTGACCTTGGCGTGCTTCTCCTCGTCCCGCTCCTCCTCCGCCTCGTCTTTCCTCTCCCCACCTACACGACCAACCATCTCATCTCAGCCCCAGGTTCCAAGCTCGAAGCACGATCACACGGAAGGAACATTCAACGCTTCAGCTCGGCGGCCCGGGTGTCAAATCACGGATTCGGAAAACGAAATGGGACAGAGACGCTTCCTAATTACGGGCCAAAACTGCGACGGCTGACCTACCTAACGTCTCGTCGCTGGATTTACGGGCGTCGCCGTCCTTGTTGGCGGCCGGCTCCGCCATCCCGCTGGCCGGGTCGGGCTCGCTCAGCACCCTATGGTCCTCTTCCTCGCCGCCTCTGATCTCTGTAAAGGAGCCGTGGCTTTAGTTTTAGTGTGAGGCCAACACGAAAAGCCTTTCGGGTAAGATGGGTAGAGATTTACCTTTTGGCTTTACATAGGTTTCATCGTCGACCACTTTGGGGTCTCCACCTGGAGGAAGGAAGGAGGAGGAAACGGCCGGGTGAGCCCGGATAAACGGCAAGAATTAACGGGGAGATTAATTTTGGCTTTGATTGATTATTTACCGATGATAGCGTCGGTGGAGGTCTTCTGGGCCGGCGTGTTGACCTTCTGCTGGATCAGTATGGACGCCGGCGCCTGGTCCGCCGGCAGCTTGCCGTTCACTGCGCGAGAAGACGACGGGCCCAGTCGGTTAGTTACAGTTCGTTACCGAGCGTCTTCTTCAAGAAGAAGACGACGCTGTGACCAGTAGAATTGGGAGTCCCGAGAAACGAATAAGGACGGAATTGAAATTTGAAAGGAAACTTACGGCCGAAGAGGATGGCGTCGGGCTTGGAGACGAGGACGAAGGTGAGGGAGACGATGAAGAATCCGACAACGATGGCCAGCATCCGGAACCGCCGCGACTCCTGCCGGCCGCCCCCGCGGAGCAGCTTCGAGTTGGGCCGCTCCCCCGCCTTCATCATCGTGGCCACCAGGTCTCTCTCGGCCTAACACGCACGGAGGACGAAGAGGCGTGCAAGGAACGGGGCGGAGACAGTGGTGGAAGATGAGCGGAGAAGGAGAGACGCGGTCGTCAGTCCTGGCTCGTTGCGTGTGTCCTTGTGCGTCTGACCGGGCTCCACGGCCCGAGGGAGGGAGGGAAGAAGGAAGAGGAAGGGAGGAGGAGTGGGTGGGGAACTGGCGAAACTGCTGGCTGCTGTCCGACTTATCGACGCCATCCCATCATGCCAGCGAAACTGAAACGGTCGAGCTGACCCACCCCCCTTTCCCCGGCCACTTCCGTGCCTTGCCTTTCCGCTCGTCTCTCGGCGCCGGGGCAACAGGAGTCGTCCGTGCAGCGGGGAGCGAGCGACGGCCCGGCGGGGTGGCGGTGTGCGGCCGCTGTCCCGGCGGCGAGGATGACGGAGACGCGGGCCTTTTTTTCCTCTCGACGAGTGCTGTGTGTCAGAGCGAGGAGGACGGGTAGTAGCAGAAGTTGCAGGGTAGCCCATCCGGGGCGAACACGCACGTGAAGGCGCGGCAACCGGTTTTGACCGCTTCCCTGTTTCGCGTGTCCGGACTTGATCTTCTGCACCGCAACCCTCCAGCTAAGGCCTGCTGCACATCATGTGACGGGTTTTTTCGTCGTCGCCTCGGCCGGATTTCCAGTGGGATGGCTCGGCTTTGCCCGGCTGGGCATCTCATTCCGGAAACGTTTGTTGCTGCTGTGTACTGTATTTCAGTTTAAACGAGCCAAAAGATTTATCATTTTCCTCATAACTAAGAAGAACAAAGTTGACCGGTTAAGGGCTCCTTTGATTCAAAGGAACTTTGCAGGATTTCTGGAGGATTGAAATTCTAAGGATGTTTTCCTTTGTTGGTCCTTTGATTCATGGATTGAATCACATAGGAATTTTTCCTATGGAATCGTCTGGAATATATTTTATAGAAAATCTAACATCCACTCCAACTTCCTTTTACAATTTCTTTATTTTTTCTATGTCATCAAACACTCATTGCTAATTCTATAGGATTCAAGCGGGCATGCCACTTCAACTCTATACTCTTTCTATTCCCGCGTTTTCAAAATCCTATAAATCAAAGAGGCCCAACGAAAACCTAGATTACAAACCGGCTACTGACAACATCATGACACAACCAACACACAACTGGATCAACAGCGCCAGCCAAGCGAGAACATCATCGGCATCCTCCATACTTTGACTTCGCCTTGGACAATCACAAACTTAACAACCATCAAGAGGTTGCACCAAACAACAAAGTATCGCCAAACAGTCGACCGGAGCGTTAAGGACACGACAACTTTGATTTTGTCGAAGAGCTTCACATGTGAAAGTTGCAAGCCTTGCTCCGACCTAGTCCGTGCAACCTTCGGCTAGCGTCATCCGTTGAAACCACCCTCATGGAGTCAGCGTTGCAAGGGGCCTCATCGCACTAGCTCCGACTTCTCTGTCATAGTGAGTGATACGTCTACAACGTATCTATAATTTTTTATTGTTCTATTAAAGTATCAATCTTGAATGTTTTATATACATTTACAAGCAACTTTATATTATTTTTTGGAACTAACCTAATAACTTAGTGCTCAGTGTCAGTTGCTATTTTTTGTTTGTTTTTGGTTTCATAGAATAGCAGTACCAAACGAAGTCCAAATATTATGAAACTTTTTGAAGATTTTTTTCTGGACATAAAGGACACTAGAAGCTTCGGGAGAAGACCAGACGTGGGAGCGTGGGCCCACAACCCACCAGGGCGCGCTCTGATGGGTTGTGGGTCCCACAGAGCTCCTTTGACCTAACTTCGCCTCTATAAATACCCATAAATCAGGAAACTAATAGAGGAGTCCACGAAATACTTTTTCCGCCACCGCAAGCCTCTGTTCTCAAAAGATCCCATCTGGGGACTGTCGGTGTCAAAACCGGCGGATCTCGGGTAGGGGGTCCCGATCTGTGCGTCTCAGGCTGATGGTAACAGGAAGCAAGGGACACAATGTTTACCCAGGTTCGGGCCCTCTCGATGGAGGTAAAACCCTACTTCCTGCTTGATTAATATTAATGATATGAGTAGTACAAGAGTAGATCTACCACGAGATTGTAGATGCTAAACCCTAGAAGCTAGCCTATGATGATTATGATTGTAATTGTGATCGGCCTTCTAAGGGCCAACCTCTCCGGTTTATATAGACACCGGAGAGGGCTAGGGTTTATATGGAGTCGGTTACAAGGAAGGAAACATAATATCCGGATCGCCAAGCTTGTCTTCCACGCAAAGGAGAGTCCCATCCAGACACGGGACGGAGTCTTGAGTCTTGTATCTTCACGCTCCAATAGTCTGGACGATGTATATAGTCCGGCTGTCCGGATACCCCCTAATCCAGGACTCCTTCAGTAGCCCCTGAACCAGGCTTCAATGACGATGAGTCCGGCGCGCAGTCTTGTCTTCGGCATTGCAAGGCGGGTTCCTTCTCCGAATACTCCAAAGTTATTATCGAACACATAGACCGTGTTCGGATCTGCAAAATGATCTTTACATACCACCGTAGAGAGAATGATATTTCAGCTGACAACTGTTCAGACGACGTGATATGTCATTATGGTCGGGTCATTATTCGAACCGTTTTCTCACAACCAGCCACAGTGCATATTGCGAGGTGGTTTCCTTGACACGTCTTGTCAAAGCAGAGATCGTGTCCCCTTATCACGGGATTCTCATCAATACGGGTATGGGTAATCCCACCGCGCCATCAATCGTGGCGCTTGGGAAGTAAGCGATTCTCAACGGGCAAGTGAGGAGGCGCACCGCTTTCGTCCCCTCTATAAAGGGATAAAGGATCCCCATTTTCACCCACGCCTTCCTCCTCCTTTGCTCATCCTTGCCTCCTCGAGCTCCAGCGCCCTAGTCCAAGTCTTCTCCGCACAGCTGAATATGTATGGAGCAGGAGGCAAGTGGGTGGATTCCACCGTGAAGGAGAAGCATATCACGAATCTTCGGGCGGCCGGATACTTGGCCGCAGACATAGCGCACTGGCTACCGGACGACGGGCAGGTCATTCCAACCCCAGGACCCCACGAGAGGGTCGTGTTTCTCGCCCACTTCGTCCGTGGACTGGGATTTCCTCTTCATCCCTTTCGTCCGCGGGCTCATGTACAATTACGGGCTAGACTTCCATGATCTAGCCCCAAACTTCGTCCTCAACATCTCGACGTTTACCGTCTGAAAGAACATGCGGTGCCCCCATGTTTGGTTTTGGTAATTGATGACAATCTCTATGGACTAATGGTTGTCTTGAGTTATATTTGAAGGATTTGTCCATAGGGTTTTCTTGAAGTCCATGTGTTGGTTTCAAGGAGTTTATGAGTTGACCAAGGTGCTATTAAGGAATTATCCAAAGATTGGTCATGCGAGTGTTGAGCTTATTGCAAGCATGTCTTGAATAAGAAGGTTGTGTGATCATTCATGTTTACCTTCAATACATCATCCAAATGAAGAGAGTTGCAAAGATTTAAGGTTGATCAGGACTAAGTCAATAGTGAATCAAGTTGATCAACTCACAAAGCATAGAAGATGTACCGAGAGGGATCAAGTGATCCCATGGTATGGTAAGCATTGTCCATTGCACTTTGTGTACTAACCCATGGTCTATGTGAGAGTTCTATGTGGGGTTAGGTACGTATCCATGGGCTTGCATCAAGAGGAAGATATCATACAACCCATGGAAAGGATGACATCAAGTGGTGATCGTCATCAAGATTGCCGTGTGCAAGTTCAAGTGGAGCATCACAAAGAGATCAAGTGCTTGAATCTTGCCATCCATTGTGGTGTCAATGGACTTGTGAAGATGAGCCGAAGAGTGGCTCACCCATAGTGGACTATGGGGGAGCAATAATCTAGTCTTCATCGAGCCAACGCAATCAAGAAAGGTGGTCCATCTTGAGGGAGTCAAGATCGTCATCATCTAGCTCAAGTGGACCATGTGCAAGGCAAAGGTTTGCCCTTGATAGGTTTTCTATTTTACCGGTCTCATGGTGGTAGTAGGGAGACCAGGTTATATGATCGTTTGCCGTACTATCAAGAGGGGCTCTCAAGTTGGTAGCTTGATCGTATCGTTAGTAGAGAGCTCAAACCCTTGCATCCTTGTATCATGTTTCTTGGTTCTTGTTTGGTTCTCTTTGTGAGTCTTAGAGCTTATGGTCATCTTGATGACAAGCTTGAGTTCATCGAAAATGGAGTTCACATGCGTCTTCTATGACGTTTTCGGTGTTGGAGGTTTTACCGATCTTTTCCGAGGAAGGGTTCTAACCATTTTCCTTTGGGACTTTTCTCATTTGCTTATTCTTGATATTTCTATCAATATTGTGTTAGCCCATGTCGTTAGCTTTCCAACAAACTTGGTTTCGTTGAATTCGGAGTCCGTTTGCAAAAGTTGTGGCTGTTTTGGTTAAGGCTGCAGCGGTACTACCGCGACTAGAGCGGATGTAATTTTTTACTACCGCTCCAGAGAAGTACTACCGCGGCTCCTGAGCGGTAGAACCGCCCCTGAGCAGTACTATCACGGCTCCTAAGCAGTAGTACCGCTTCGGACCAAAATCTCGTGTTTTGCTCAGCGGAAGTAGGCACAAAAGTAATTTTTTTAGTACCGCTCGCAAGCAGTAGTACCGCTATCATTTGTGGTAGTACCGTGAGGTCGAGCGGTAGTACCGTGAGGACGAGCGGTACTACCGCTCCAAAGGTTCTTTTGGCCTTTTTGCCTCTTCGATGTTGTGTTTCGAAGGGGTACTACCGCCCTAGCGGTAGTACCGCTCCTTGGAGCGGTAGTACCACTCTGTGTGGGCTGTGAGCATAACGGTTGGATTCGGGAGCTCCTATAAAAGGGGGTATTCTTCCCCATTCAACCTTATCCTTTGAGCTCGTGTTCTTCCCCCATTGTTGACCTTCTTCGAGCTTGCTAACTCTCAATCCCTCC